CCCCCAGCCAATCAGCAGCACTGGCACTGCTACATGGCCAAGCAAGGGCTTCTATGGGCTGTGCTCCAGGATGGAGCAGCCCAGGTAGCATCTCTGAGTAGCATCAGACAGTAAGGGGGAGGAAAAGGAGAAGAGGCAGAAACTGGGGTGAGTTGGGGGGAAGGGGAAGAAGCAGAGACTGGGGGGGGGGGGGGGGGGGGGGGAGGCTGGGGGCGGAGGGGTGCAGGTGGCAAGAAGGCTGCAGGGGAAAGTGGGCAAGGCAGATGAAAAAGGAGCCACCTGACCTGCCCCCCCACTTTCCTTGCCCCCCCAGTCACTGCTTTCCCTGCTGTAGCAGTAAGGCAGGGAGGATTCAAGACAACTCCCAGTACTTTAGATTCTATACCTGGACAATTAGAACACATTTATAAGTTTTCCATATACAGAATCTAATTATTGGGGAGGTCATTTTATATTCACGGTCATTTTATATTAGAGTAAGTATGAGGAGGTATATCATATCAAGGGTGTTGTAGATTTACTGAACTCAGTCTTTCTTATTGCTATTTACATGTGAAAGAAGGGTCGAGCATATTTTTTCATCATGACTACTCATCTATGCAAAATCTCACTTATATATGTCTGCAGGATCAGGATTAAAGTGATTCAGGAGCCATTCAAAACACTTTGAACACTTATTAACTGCACTTATTGCTGCAGAGCACAGAATCTCATTATGTTTAGTGTTTTTGTTATAAGCTCCAGGTCCTACAATCTCATAATTCCATTAGATTCTACATTTCCATTAAAAAAAAAGGCTTCCAATCCTGAACATGGTTGTGGAAGAGTGTTTGAAAACACAAAGAGTAAAGACTCATAAAGCAAGGTGAAAATAAAATAAACCTCCCAAAATGTTTTGGGTCCGATTCAATCTTATGCTGCAACTTGAAAGGGGAGAAAATTCAGAGTTTCTCTCTGGCCATGTAAAGAGCTGCCAATAAAATGCCCATTTTAGCTTAACAAATTAACTGCTGAGATCAAATCGGTGTGCATTAGCGCATGCCACTTCAATCAACAAGAAGCAAATACAATTGTTATTAAAAAGAAGAAAAACTAAAAAGCAAAACACTGTAGTAACATTATGCACAACAGAACCTACTGCAAGAGCCAGGAGACAATACAACTGGATCTACAGTGGCAGCCATAAGCATTGTGCTGTGATTTATGCTGTTTAACAGAATTAGCATAGCTCAATGTTCAGAATGGTGTGGAAACTTCTTTATTTTATTTTAATGCTAATCCTATGAGTATTTTATACAAACACTTAAAAGCTTAACTCTGCATTAAAAATGTTTCTAGTCTTAAAACAAGTTCATTTTAGAGTTTAATTTCTTTAGGATTTCCTTACTGGCTTAGGCTAACTCTGATTATACTTACCCATTGCTTTTGTTTCTTCTCTTTTAGCATTCAGAAGGGAAAATTTAAATTTTGCTCTGACTTCACTTTTTGGACAACTGACTAGAAGCAAATATAATGACAGGTAGTCTTTGCTTTCATCATCTAAACCTTTTGGGTTTACTCTCAGGCACCTGAAAAAAAGGAAGATAGGCACAGATTTAAAAGATTTAAACTTTAAAACCAGACACAGAATAAAATTAAGAAACCATACCATTCTAAAAACACTCTTTTTATTATAAGCCTTTAGAAAAGGCTTCTTGGATTCAGTGTTTAACAATTAAATTTGTTACTGAACTTTAAAACACAAATTTAAAGCAGCCACAAAGAACTGACAATACAAAGTTGAAAGCACAACCACCTTACCACTTCATTTTATCATTTGGCCCTGATGAAAAGGTAGAACTCTTTAAAACTTCACCCATTTCTTCTCGGCAAAAGCTGAAGTTATTAATGGTCCACATGTAGGAAAATTTTACTACTTTAACCTGAACAAAAGATATATGAAAAAAAAAATCAGTACAAATGCAATATAGTTACTTAATTTGTAATTCATTTTTTTTACATAAATTACCCTCTACCTATGAGACTGTCAACAAAGTTCTGTTTGGTTTTGAGAAAAATGTATTCTGACAGACAGATCCTCTAATAGGAAAAGCCCAGTCACTGCAGTTTGTCCAATTTACCTGTGTATAACACCAGCTTTCAGCTACGGGTCCACTGGACATCTCTCCAGGTGGTGGAGGCGTGGGGACCCTCGACATTGCCACTTTTATTGCAGATTTACAGCATCAGGGTAGCAATCGAAACTTCAGTAATTTTTCTACAAAAATATAATGATTATAATAAATACAATGGGATTACCAAAATCAGGCTGCTTCCCCACTGCCCACTTAATATGAGTATTACACTTTGGCATTTAAGCTATTGTTTCAAGTCAAATACTCAGGTTTTTCAAATAGGTGAGAGAAGGTAGAAGTTTTGAAATAGATCCAAGTTCAGCATCAAATACCTACTGATGACCACATTTTATTCATAGATCTGCAAGAGAGAGATCATAATGAAATATTCAGCTTTATAACCTAACTTCATATCTCAAAATTAATTTATTTAAAAAAAAAAATACCATGGCTAATTAGTAACCACTCTAATGTTTTATATCCTCTTTTAGGATCTATTGATTTGGCTTGTAAAGTAAAATATATCATGGGAACTAAAAAAAAAAAAAGACCATATTAAATTCAAAGTTATCCTGCATTTGGGTAAGGACAACCCAGCCCCCCAATAATTAGATTCTTTACATGAAAAAAACGTATTAATTTGTTATAACTTTCCATGTATAGAATCATAATTATTGGAAAGTCATTTTAAATTCATCCCCCCCCGGCTACAGCAGGGAAAGCAGTGCCGGGGGGGCAGGTGAAGCCAGGAGTCAACATCTGCCCTTGCCCTCCAGCCCCCCCTCCCCCCCGGTGCATGTACCCCCCACCCCCTGTCCTCCCTACCCGGTGCTGCTGCCTGCCCCTCTGCAGCTGCTTACTCTCTACTGCTGCTCTAGCTCTGGGCTCCTGCCTGATCAGGCAGCAGCAGCTGCAGAAGTGGCAGCCCCATGCCCCCGCCCTAGGATGGGTTCAGAGCTGGAGCTGCTGCCACTACCCAACACACATGCACGGCACTACCACAATGGAGGACAGTAACTGGGGTTGGGAGGGGTGCAGAGGCAGCGTGGGACAGACGTGCATTGAGGTGTGGGGGAGCAGCAGCTGACTATCCCCCCTTGCACTCAAATCTCCTCCCCCCTCCACCTATATTGAATGCAGAGGACTCGGTTTGTATTCAAATAAATATGGTAATAATGATAACATGAAACAAAGATGCTCGTAGGACCATAAACTGCTCCAGGTAAGCCAGGAATAAGAGGTCAAAGAGAAAGGAAAATAAAATAAGCTAGTATGTTGCTCATCAAATCAGTACTAAAGATGCAAATCAGATTCTAAATCTGTATACAAAAGAAACCATAATTAACAGCAGCGTTATATATGCCTAAGTAGGGGACTACAATAATTCATGTGGTTGGGAGTTTCTGTGACAGGGGTATCAAATATATAATCCAGGGACCAGATCTAGCCTGTAGAGCTATTTCTTCTGACTCATGTGCCTCCTGGAATAGCTCCCAGCAATGGATCCCTGATGGGCAACAGTTACCAATCCTCACCCTGCCCCCCCCGGGTGTTTCCTAAATGCTGCCACTTGCCCCAGACGCAGTCCAGGAGGCTGCTTGTAGTCTGGACTGACCCCATGAGTAGCCCCATGATCCAGATTTTAGGATCCTGGGGCGGATTTAAGTCCCAACATGGTAGGTAACTTTTCAGAATCACGTTTTCCTCTATTATACGAGAATCAGAGGAAATAGGGACTCTAAAACATTCTTTATGCATTTAACAAATTATGAACGTTCCTTAAGTAACCTCTTCTATCACTTAAACAAGAGTACACACATGCCATGTGTCACAACCCAAAGTTGTGGTTTTTTGTTTTTGTGTGCTTCGGCACCGCTAAATTATGTTCCCACCAAATTGCAGCTTCTTTACACGGTGGAGTTTTCTTTTGCAATAGAAGAACCTGCATGCAAAAGAGTATTTCCCTCCGTTTATAGCCTTCTTTGCATGGTGCATTTCTTTTGCATCATGGTGATGCACGGTGCAAAGGAGTTCCCGCCATTTGTATTAAGATTTGCACCACATTATTGGCCGATCTTAATATAGGCACACGTGGCGGCTAGCGATTGGTTTGCTAGCCGTATAAAGAGCTTGGGTGGTTTCCGCCCAAGTTGGAGAGAGAGAGAAAGCAATTGGAGTTTGGGAGAAAGAGCGTGAAGATTTCTAAGCGCTGCTAATCCCCTCGAACCCAGCTTTTTCTTCTCCTTAAGAGGGCAATAGAGGGCCTATTTACCGAACCCACGGAACTTCAACCACTCCGCGGGCCAAACGGCCTCTAGCCTCTCCCCGTCGCCGAGTGCAATCCTAAGACGTATCCCTTTCCTTTGAAACTACCGAACCCGCGGAGCTTCAACCACTCCGGGGCCAATTACCGAGCCGAACCCGCGGAGCTTCAACCATTCCGGGGTCAATTGTCGGAGTCCTCTAGCGAAGATTTAAGCGGAGCTGAGCCTGGAAAACTGTCCAGCCTACACCATGACCATCTTTGGTATAAGCAAACAATCTTTTAATCAACCATTACGCATCCGTAACTAATTCTAGCTCGCCACCGGTCTTCTTCGACCCCGCGTGCCCAGGCTGCTGGCCACAGCCTGCGTGCGCAAAAATGGGTCCGCATATCGCTCCCGGCTCGCACATGGTGACATGGACGAGATCGGGAGGCGGCCTGCACACCATGCTGATAAAGTATTTCTAGTAGCTGGCTATTAATTGACTACAAGTTTTTTTATAGACTTGCAAAGCTGTTATTCTGAACTTCGACAAACATTTTTATGCCCATTCATATCAGATAATTTGATTTTTCCTCGGAATTTTTAGTCAGAGCTATCATTTTTGTCTAACTTTTATACAAATGAAGTAAATCTTACCAATTTTGTCCCAAACCCATTTTTTAAAGTTGTTGCAGTCCAGAATGTATAAAGTAATGTGGTTAAACTTTGTGGGGGGGAACATATATTTTATATCAACATGGTCACAAGGAATACGACTACAGTTTGGATTAAGTTATTAAATGCGAGTAAAATAAGATTTGTGTTCAATAATTACTTATACTTATTGCACTGGGGGGGGGGGGGGAAGAAGTCTTATTGATGACACTGGCAACTAGGAAAAGAAAGAATATGGATTTTCCCCCCCTCAAAGATGCAACACCAAGTTTTTAAAGTTTTCCTATGCCTGCCCTCCACTATACTTGTAAGAAGATTTCTATTAAGTCTTAATGGTTGCCACTTCTTTTAGGCAAATTAAAAGAAATGTGACAGCTTTGCTGTCATGTTCCTTCCACCCCACAATGCTTTTCTTCAGCTCTGAAAGTGTTAGCGAAGGGAATAGCTAGCTTTCCTTACATAAGGTACATCAGCAAAATGAATTTTTCCTTTGCATCACAGAAACTTCTCCAGATTGCCATTGACTTACTCTTTCTACAGTGTCTAGCAGGAGCAGGATAAGTCTACTTTGTAAATGAATCTCCATAGCCTAATACCAAATAAAGCCATTAGCATCATTTGCTATTATAACTGAACTACAAATAAAAGCTTCCACTAGGCCTGTCACTGCTGTTAAGACACCTTATGAGCATTCCAGAAAAAAAAAAAAACCCAGTCAGCTTCACATTTATGAAGTGAATCTTGACAGGTGATTATTCGCATGCCCAAAGGCTCTGAAGTTTTCGATTTTACCTATCTAAAAAGGAGCAATGACACATGAAGCTTTTATGATAAATTATTTTTGCTATACGTAAATACTAAATATAGATTAAAGGCAAGACTGTCTAAAGTTCTATTGCAATAATATAATTTTTTAAAACAGAACTATATGTAACCAGTGGCTTTCAACAGCCAGTAGGTTCCTTTAATTACATGGAATATCATTATACTTCATTCCTTTACGCAGAAATAGAGCCTATATCCAAGGTAGTTAATTTGAAATGCAACTATGTATTCATCCCCAAAACTGAACAAATCCGACATTTATAGATAATCTGTATAGACAATGCCTCCCACTTTCACATCATCAACAGATTTCATCAGCATGTGCCTAACATTTGTAAAAACATTAAGAAAATATTAAGCAAAAATCAGTCTCCTGGAAAACTCCACTAGTCACCTCTAGAGGTACACCGATACATCGGTCCATATCGTATCAGCACCGATAAAGGAAAAATTGACATTATTGGCAACGGGCTTTTTTTGGCTGATGTGGCCGATAATATTGCCAATAAAGGCTGCATGAATGTGCACAGCTGCAGCATGCATGAGGTCAGGAATGCAGTCCGGAAGCCTGGAGAGCAGCACCTGGCCGGTAAGTCTGTGGGGGGGAAGGGACACAGGGGAGGGAAGGGGTGTGGGTGGGGGGAGATCGAGGTCCCCACAATGCTAGAGGGAGTGGGGCTGGGGCGGGCGCTGCACAGCTGGGGCAAGGCAGGGCACGGGATCGAGCTGCAGCTCTTTTGGGGGGTGTGGGGGAAGGGTGGCTCCTGCCAATGTGCGCACTTCTGAGGGAGGCATGTGCCCCCGGATCTGTGCATGGGGCAAGGGCAGGCTGCTGTTGCGCATTGGGGATGGAGGCTGTACTGGCCTCTTCCCAGCAGGGGGGCTGGACCCAGGCTGTGCCTGGGGCAGCCAGGGGCAGAACAGGCAGCAGCAGTGCTGGGAAGGGTGGCTACGGTATGCGCAGCCAGTGATAACTTTCACAATTTGAACAGGTTTTGAATGCAAGCTTTTCATGCTAGGACTTTTCAATTTTTTTTAGAAGAACCAGACTCACAGCACCATTCTGCAGCAGGGACTTGCTAATAAACAGCTTATTACCTTCTATATTGCAGTTCCCTCCTCCCCCACCCACCAGTTTTTGAAGTGATTTGGAGCATAGCTCCAGTTCGGCTTCCTAACAGCAGCACGGAACTGGCACCATCGTTCCAGCCCAGCCCAGCCCAGCAGCAACAGTGCCAGCACCCTGCAATGGCTGCTATGGGGCCAGCGTGAAGCCATGCTCCATGCCACAGGTTGCCGCAGGGATGGAGCCTGCCAGTATGTATCTAAGGTAAGGAAGAGTACAGTGAAGGGCGAGGGAGACATTGGGGGGGGAGGGGTGTCAGGGTGTGCGG